AGGCACCCCTCTCGAACCACTTGACGCTGTCCTGGCCGCCGTCCTCGCTCAGCTGCGCGAGGAAGAGGAACTTGTCCGGCCCGCCGCCAACCTTTTCGTCCGCCATGCCATCCTCGTCCAACTCGACTGCTCGCTCAAAGTAGCTGCGTCCTTCGTCGGCGTCGCCTGATTCCACTGCCAGCGTGCCGAGTAAGTTGAGCGCGCGGAGCTCGAAGTCGCCCCCGGCGCCGGTTGATTCCAAGGCTTTGTGGGCAAGCGTAACCGCTTCGTCGAGGTTGCCGACCTCGAACTGGGTCTCTGCATCGTTGAGTAGAGAGCCTGGGCTAGACTCATTTTTGAGTCCTGGCCGACTGGGTGCCATTATACAAGTCTCGCTCTTCTATCGGCGGTTAAATAACAAGAGGCGAAAAAAAAGGTAAAAGTAAGAAAGTGACGATGCAATAGAATGACATGGAGGGTCGGTATGCTTGCTGCCCACTGGGCGGCACTTGATAGCTCTAGTGGTCGCATGAAAATTTTGGGCGGGTAAGCCTTATCGATAACAATGACATGGCGGGGCAAAGGACCTGCTTGGCCCGTTGAGAAGCATCAACGGCACTGAAGAATAGAGTCATCTCGACGACGAGGAACCGATCAATAAAGAGCCTTGTTTCATAAACCATTTTCCTTGTAACACCACATTGTCTACAACAAACAACACTCCAGTTACAGGCTAAAAACGTGTCTTTCAGTCGCCAGACCATCATCTGCTTTGTGCTAACACTCATCAACCGCTCACTCACAGCCACCCACCATGTTCACCGGCATCGTCGAAGACATCGGAGGTACATGCCCTCCAGCTCAACCTCGTCCCAGCCATCACTAACATGTCACATCTCAGTCGTCTCCCACCTCGACAACAATGACTCCACCGGCGGCACCGCCATGACATTCACCATCCCCGCAGACTCACCACTCCTCAAGGACTGCCATGAAGGGGACTCCATCGCTGTCAACGGGTGCTGCCTCACAGTCACATCCTTCACAGCCGACGCCTTCAACGTCGGCGTGGCCCCCGAGACTCTACGCATCACCAACCTCGGCGCTCTTGCAGAAAACAGCCGTGTCAACCTGGAGCGAGCCGTACGAGCCGACACCCGGATGGGCGGTCATTTTGTCCAGGGCCACGTCGACACCACGGCCGAGATTTTGTCCGTGACGCCGGATGGCAATGCTTTGACTTTTCGGTTTCAGCCCAAGAATCGTGACATGCTGCGCTACATCATCTTCAAAGGTTTCATTGCCATTGACGGGACGAGTTTGACTGTTACGAATGTCAATGATGCTGACGGGTGGTGGGAAATCATGCTGATTTCGTACTCGCAGGAGCGTGTGGTTTTGGCGCAGAAGAAGAAGGGCGACACGGTCAATATTGAGGTTGACATGATGGCCAAGTACGCCGAAAAGTCGCTGGCTGGAGTTCTGGGGGCAAACAGCGGCGATGCGCCGATTCCGTTGCTCGAGAAGATGGTGCAGCGAATCATTGGGAAGCAGTAGGCAGGCGTGTCAAAGATTAAGTGAGTCATTTTGTATTGCTCATTCAAGGGTATCATGTCGCATGTCTCATGTCAAGAAAAAAAGAAAGAAAGACAGAAAGACAGAAAAGAGACGATATGCCACCCGGCCAGCGGTACTAGGCATCACCCCAAATTTCAGATATCTTTTGGCTCAACGCCTTGCTGATTTTCTTCCTCCCAACCAAGTGGCCAAGTTGGCTCGACACGAGCTCTCGCTTGCGCTTCTTGCCTGTCTCCCCGGGCCCGCAAGCCTCAAAAGCCTTGACGAAATCATGGGGTGTGCGCCAGCGCCTCTGAATCTCGAGGGCTCGCTCTCCCGTCACTCCCCTAGTTGTCATTAGCATTTTTAAAAATACATCTCGCAGCGTCATCATTTCGGATTTGGATGCAAGCGAGGAGAAGGTCTGATACGTTATGTAATGGCCCACAGACGGCTGAGTCTCTCGCAAATGCTGCAGCATGGGCGCGTAATTCTGCGCGGTAATCACCCTAGATGGGATCACATGCAACGTCTGCTTCTCGTACCTGCGCTTCAGCATGGCAGTTAAACGCGACAGGTACCTGACAGTCTCGTCCATTTTGGAAGTTCGCTTCACAAAGTACCCATTGACGACTTGTGTCGAGGCAATGGCAGACTGGACGGCTTCCTCGTATCTTTGGAGGACCTGCGGGTCGATGGTGATGTCTTCAATAATGTAAATGACATTTTGAACACCACAGCGCCTGAGACGAAACTTTTGTTCGTGAAATCGTCCGTCTTTGATGCTCCCAATCAAGTCGTCAAGGCGCTTTCGTTCCACAATCCAGTCCAGCACCACCTCGTCCCCCTCGGCGCCGAGTCTCTGGAGCAGTGTGGAATCATGGCATTTGGCAACCCACTGCGCATCGCCCACTTCCAGACTTCTCATCAACGGCGTGGCGTCTAGTTTGGCCAGCTCCTCTTGCATATAATCACGATCGGTTTTTGCCCGGACTTCACGCACGTCCAAAACTAGACGAACGGAAAACGAGCCAGGAGGCAGTTTGATGGGGGCAAAAGCGGGCAACGAGCTGTCCGTGGCATTCCCCTTGGCTGCACTGTCTAGCTCGGCAACAACCTCGATCTCGGCAGACGGCGAGCGGACAGGGCGCGTAGAGGAGGTGGCGGGATGCAAAGCCGTGTTGCCGTTATCTGCCTTCCATTCGCTGGTTTCTTTTATCCGGTTGGCGACTTCCCATCCCTCGTCGGTCAATGCATAGCGCCGTAAAGGTCTCCCCCTCTCATAGACGAGTTCCTTTTGGACCAATATCTTCATCGAGGCCCATGCCGTGTAAAACTTGGTCGGGTCGCTCGGTGCGGTGAAGGAAGAATCGCAATGGGGCTGTGAGACTTGAATCAGGTCTGCTTTCGTCATACCCGAGGTGGTGTCATCTGGTTGTGTCGACAGGCCAATCAAGAGCGCATAGGCACCAGAACGAAAAGCCGGAACATAGGCCTTGGGTTGTCGCGTCTTGCGCTTCTTTGCGGCACCGGCCCCCTCGGCAGCAGCAGCTTGCTCGTCTCGTCGGGCCCTTTCTGCAGCCTTCTTTGCTTGAGGATGCTCCGGCATGGGCAGATGATTCTCCTGGCAGTGTTTCTGGAGCTGGTCGGTCAGTCTTTCACACAGCTTTGGGCCAAAGCCCTTCAACTGCTGGAGCTCAGCAGGGTGCTGAAAAACCAGAGGGCATGCTTTGAGAGATTCATAAGCATTTCGATACGTGGTGAATCCTTTCGAGTTGCGCTCTCGTGCTGTGTCCAGCCACTCCTTGACCCAAGCGAGGAGCTGCGGATTGGGGCATTCTTCCATTACGTCGAGGCGGCGGGTTGGCGAGATTTAATGTCGGTCCATGGAGGCGAGAGAGGGCGTCAGAGGTGATTTGAGGTTTCAAAAAAAAAAAAACCTGAAAAGAAGAGAAGCCAAAAAGCCAAAAGAGGTCAACTCGCACAAGTAAGCTTGAGAGCGCCAAAAAGTTGAGAAGACCGTCGCGTCTCAGAGCTCTGTGTCGCGCCGGTTTGCGTGCACATTGGGCGAGGCTTCTGGCTGGTCTTGGCGGGGGGAAAGCACGAGCGGACACGACGGCACGTGGCCTGATAGGTGTGCCCCGAGGTGCCCACACTTGCGAAGGAGCTGGCGGCTGGCCTTGGGTTGGCACGTCCACTATTATGACGACACCGCCAAACTGCCAAATCGCATGATGCAGCTTCAACGTGCAACACCACGACCATTGGCGCGGCTCAGTCGAACAAAGCGGGCAGGTCACCAGGAGGACTTTCAACGCTCAATTGCCGCGCAGCTTCTAGCCAAGGGTCCGCTCACCATCATCAGCCTTTACTCCGTCGTCCGTATTGTATCACGGCGCACAATCTGCTCATTATCTGGTTTCTGTGCAGACAGCTTGCCCGCTGATGCTACCTTCTCCACCTTGTGTTCGGCGGGGTCAGTCGCCTATGATCCCTGTGCCCTGGTGTGCCCTGGTGTGCCCTGGTGTCGTCTTTGCCAGGGACCAGTTACGAGTGTCCTTGTTGTCCATGCTTCGCGGCGGGTGGAACTGGGAACGAGGTCATGAGAAAGTCGCAAGACGACAGGATGTGAGAGCTGTGGGCTGTGGGTTGCGGGTTCGCTCGCTCCAATGTTACGCTGGGCTGCCTCTGGTGCGTCGTAAAGCGTTGCCTGTTTGGGTTTTGCAACCTCGAGTCCGCATCGAGGATAACTACCTACAGAGGGAGGCAAATGGTATTTGGCCAGATCCGGTACCTGGCTATCGCGCTGTATACTATAATGTGCTACAGTATATTAGTGTATACTTCTTGACGGGCAAACCAAACTTCTTCTGCGCCAGACCGCAACCGCCGTCCACCTCGCCACGTCCGTTGTTGAGCTTATCAAGCTGGCTATCTCTTGTTTCCAACGTGCTGGGATGTTTTGGTCTCAGGACCCCGGTACCGTCGTTTTAGTAATGGAAAAAAAAAACGGCGTCTCATTCTTGGGCGGAGCTGTCACTGGGAGATGGCATGGATCTCGTCAGATCTCAAATTATACGAACCAAACTTGTTGACATGTTGTCGATTTGCATTGAACGCAGTATGGAGTATGGGACTACCCCACCATCAGACAGAAGAAGAAAGAGCAAGCAAGCCACCCCACCTCTCTTAAAAGACGCTTGCATCCTGAATCGCTACTCTTCCATCGTCCTCTTTAGCTTCCCAGGCTGCTTCCAGGTCAGGCCCCCCCTTTCTTCCCCCGAGGTACGTCTGTCACCAACAATTGAGAATCAAGCCGCGACGTCTGCTACACAAGCTCGATCTCCTAGACCTCCATCAGAGGACAACACTGGCAGCAGCTCCCCTTGGCCAGGCACAACGCAAACCACAACACTGTCTCTTGTTATGTTCTCTAACTAACACGCTGCAGATACCCAGCGGTCATGGACGACAAAATCCTCGAAGCGTCGGCAAAATACCCCATCGTTGCCGGCCACACCTACAAGTATGGCACGGCCGGATTTCGAATGAAGGCTGATTTATTGACGGGCGTTTCGTTCCGCGTTGGTCTGCTCGCCGGCCTGCGCAGCCGCAAGCTCAATGGCCAAGCCATCGGCGTCATGATCACCGCCAGTCACAACCCAGCTGCCGACAACGGTGTCAAGATTGTCGACCCCATGGGAGAGATGCTTGAGCAGGAGTGGGAGGCCTACGCTACCCACCTGGTCAACTGCCCTTCCGACAGGGAGCTTCTTGACACCTACAAGGCCCTCGCTGCCCAGCTCAAGATCGACCTCAACACCCCCGGCCGCGTTGTCTACGGGAGGGATACTCGACCTTCTGGCCACGGCCTAGTCTCTGCCTTGGCCGCCGCCCTGGAAGCTACAGGCACCGAATACACCGACTACAAGATCCTGACGACTCCTCAGCTGCACTACCTGACCCGCTGTGTCAACACCGAAGGCACCCCCAAGGCCTATGGCGAAACTAGCGAGGCTGGCTACTACAAGAAATTCTCTGATGCCTTTGTCCGTGCCTTGCGGGGGAGAAAGGTCCAGGGCCAGCTGACCGTGGACTGCGCCAACGGTGTTGGCGGCCCCAAGTTCGCCGAGATGCTCAAGGTCATCCCCAAGGACAAGACCGGCTTTGATGTCAAGGTGGTCAACGACGATGTCCTGCGGCCCGAGGTTCTCAACCTTGACGTATGTATCAATTCTTGAGTTGCTGCAAGCTGGCTCTGTCATGCTACCTATTTATACTAGCCTTGCTAATCATTTTGCAGTGTGGCGCCGACTATGTCAAGACAAAGCAGAGAGCCCCCCAGAACCCCAAGCCCGTGGCCGGAGCTCGTTGCTGCTCCTTTGACGGCGACGCCGACCGCCTGATTTACTACTGGATCGACCCAGACACCGGCTTCTTCATGTTGGACGGTGACCGCATCTCTTCCCTCTGCGCCTCCTTCATCGGTGACCTCATTCGCTCCGCCGGCCTCGAGGATGAGTTACGCATCGGAGTTGTGCAGACCGCCTACGCCAACGGCGCCAGCACCAACTACATTGAGAAGCACTTGCAGCTTCCTGTCGTCTTCACTCCCACCGGCGTCAAGCATCTGCACCATGCCGCATGCCAATTTGACGTGGGCGTCTATTTCGAGGCCAACGGCCACGGCACCGTCGTCTTTTCTCAGGAGGCCATGCGCACCTTCAAGGAAAAGGAACCGCAGTCCCCCGCCCAAAAGGACGCGCTTGACACCCTCGCCGCCGTCGGGGACCTGATCAACCAGACTGTCGGAGACGCCATCTCCGACATGCTCATGGTGGAAGTTGTCCTGGCTCACAAGGGATGGACCCTCAAGGACTGGGCCATGACCTACACCGACCTGCCCAACCGCCTGGTTCGCGTCGAGGTTGGCAACAAGGATCTCTTCCAGGCGACGGATGCCGAGCGACGCCTCAGCCACCCACCTGGCGCTCAGGATGAGATTGACCAGGTTGTTCAAAAGTACACATCGGCACGTTCATTTGCTCGTGCCAGTGGCACTGAAAATGCCTGCCGAGTGTACGCGGAGGCGGCGACTCGCTCCGAGGCAGACGAGCTTGCAAACAAGGTCGCGCAGATTGTCAAGCAATTTGGATCGTAGAGCGTCTAGGTACGACAATGGCGACGAATGACATGATTATGACATGACGAGGGGAGGGAAAGGGTTCCCTGAGGGGGAAAAAAAATTCGGCGCGCACAGCGGGTCAGCTCATCTAATGAGAAAAGCAATATTGGCCAAGTAGCCGTAGCATATTTGAAATCGAGAGATGCCATTGTTTTTAGTGCAAAATTGGGCTACTTCGAGATGCAAATATTGTGGAGATTTTTGTCTTGCTTGTTCCTCTTTACGAGCCGAAGATGGAATTCCGATGCCAAATGCACATCATTGTCACGTCTATCTAAGCCGACTAAACCCGGCGAGCCAAGCCTAATAGTATAGAAAACAGAAATTACGCCGTCCAGCTCCCATCGTCCTCTTCCCGTCTACATGTTCTTGCGTCCCTCTTTTTTTTTTTTTTTGAGTGGTCCCCGTCTCATGTAGTGAAATATCCGAGCAGTATGTCTCTCAACTATGCTACTGTTGATGCTCCTATATCAATTTTTTTTTCCCTCTCTCCTATGCTAAATGTACCCGTGGGACCTTTTTTCCTCCACCACATTCATTTGAGTCGTATATGCCTAGCACATGTGGAACGAGCATTGCCCAGAAGATGATCGGGTAGAGTCCTCCGGTTGGAACTCGTACTGGATATCAATGTCCAGATCTCGGCGGTTCTTGGCGTTGGGCTTGACCTGCAGATTGCATGCAATCTCCTCGCCGTCCTGGACCGTCAGTACGTCCTTGAAGTAAAAGACTGTCTGTTTCCAGTGGGTGTATTTGGTGTGGGGACCGGTAGAGAAGCGGATGGGCTTGTGGCATGCGGTGAAGTCGATGTCGAACCAGGACACGAGGGCGTGGACGAAGTCGTCGCGCTTGATGGCGAGCTTGAAGGGCGTGGCAAAGGCGAGGTCGGCCACGGTGCAGGTGTAGAGGTCAAGGGTGAGGACGGGCGTGGGATCGGTGACGACAGTCTTGAGCTCGACGGTGTCGACGAGGGGCTCGGAGAGGGCGGTTTCCTTGAGCGGGGTGTAGTCGAAGCCGTAGACATTGTCCCAGACTAGGTGGTGTTGGTCAGTGCCTGTTGGTGAGTGAGGGGGCAAGGGAGAGAATATGCAAGCATACATCCAATCTTTTCCTCCTTGTAGTCACCATCTTCGATGCCGGCAAAGAAAATGGTGGCCTTGTCGGGAAAGATGAGGCCGTCCTTCTCGAGATAGGTGTCGCGAGCATACAGGACTGTGTCCAACATGCTCTCGTACAACAAGAAATAGCCCATCCACTCAGAGATGATGATGTCGACCTTGGGGAAGGGCATCTCAATCTCCTCCATCTTGCCCTGGATCAGGGTGATCTTGTCGGAGAGGCCGTTGGCCTTGACAATCTCGCGGGCCTTGAAGATGATGGACGACATGTCGACGCCAATGACGTGCTTGGCGCCGGCCTTGGCAGCGAACCTGGCGCAGCGTGAGTCTCATTGCAAATTCTTGGAAGACGAAGATGCGAGCGGTCATTGTGGTACAAAGTGACGGGTGGGAGGAGACACGGAGCGGCGGCTCTGGTCGCAGGGCGAGGCTGGTCAAACATAACATACATGGAGAGAATGGCGGTGCCACAGCCGACATCGAGAACCACCTTGTCCTTGAACAGGTGCTTGTTTTGCATAATAGCATTCATGTAGGATCGAGTGCGGACCTCATCTTTCTACCAGTTTCCAAAGTGTCAGCTTCCTCTACATGCTTGTCTGCGACGCACAGGCAGCTTGGGTCGTGGACTCGTGGGGTGCTGATGCGGCGGGGGAGGGGTGCAAAAAGCTCACCAGCATTTCCTCGTGGATGCCTTTTTGCGTTGCGCAAATGTCAGTCAGTAATGTACGACTATACAACATGAATGGACCGTAGAATCGTACCATGGTGGTCATAGCTGTGAGGATGGATTAGCAATGCGTTTGCTTTTATTTTCAAATTCTTTTTTTCTTCTTCTTGTATTCTTCCTCGTTGCGATTCGTCACCTGGGGAATAATGGCACACAACCAACCTCTTAAAGTAGTGCTGCTCGCTGTGCTCGAGCGACTTCATGCGCTGCTCGGCAATCTCAACGTCCATCTTGTCGCCAGTCATTATGGCTGCGAATACTCCGTACCGCTGACGGATGCAAATAAGAGTAGTAGAAACAAGGTATGCAAAGATTCCGAGACGGGGACTGGCGGCACAAAGTGAAGGGGAAGCCGTTGGGTCGCTGACCGCAAGGAAGAGTCGCACCACAGACGGACGGCTGCAGGTTTTGTCGGGCAGAAAAATAATTTATCGGGCCACCGCCTTCAATGGACGACTGCCCCTCCCTCGCTGCAAAACAGTCAATTGAACGGCCCGCACCCACGCCACCTTGTCTTGGCGCTGCCAAACAACATGACGGGACCAGAGAAGCATCATAAGGGAATCAGTCGCACGTTCCATCAAAATCCTCGCAGAGCCCCAATATCAACCAGCTTGTCAAAAATACGCCCCAAAAAGCGAAAGAGAAGCCGCCAAGCGTACCTGACTTAGTGCCTAGATCACACACCAAGTAGCATCTTCTCTTTCTCTGCACGTTTACCTACATCACAAGCACAGCAAAAAGCATTTATTGTCATCACGCAGAGCGTCAGCCTCCATGTATTCGATAGCCCTCCTGCCTATAGAGTGTATATTCCTGCATTCCGCTCAACGCGCATTCCGTCCACGTCTTTTTTTCCTACGCTCTAATCTCTTGTGGTACCAAAAAACGCCCAAACGCCATTACGTATATGCAACAAAAAGCGAACGATACATCCCACAGGAAACAGCATCCCGAAGCCTCATGGTCGCCCGTTCCACCCCATTGGCCTTACACGAGCAACACGCTGTTGACACAGCCATCGTTTTCGGGATTGTTGGTCACTTGCGCATATCGACCCCACACAACCTTTCCGCCAGCAGTCACCAAGCCCAGTTCGCTGACGTTGACCTCGATGACGGTACCCTTTGTCAAAACACCAAGCTGGGTATACATCGGATTCTGAGGGTTCTTCTTGACGCCGATGATAGGCAACTGCACCGTAACACCCAGCTCGGCCTGCGTGCAGTTAGTTTTGCGGTATCGAAGCCCCATAGGCCTAATAAACCTTTCGTATTTAGGGTTTCTTCGCGTGAAGTCCTGTCCGACAAACGTAGGTTTGGTGACCATGCGCTTCCAGCCCTTCTTCTGGATCTTCTTGCCCGTCTTGACCACCTTGAACATTTCCTCCTCGCTGATACCGCGGACCTTTGGCAGCGGGACGTTAAACTTGGCCGCCTTTTCTGCTCGCTTGTTCTTGATGGCACTGCTGAGGGCCTTGGCCGTCGATGGGTTCGTTCGGTCAAGTAGGTACGAGGGCATGGGAGTTGAGGGCTCCTTCTCGTCGGCAGTCTTGACATTTCTCTCCTCGTGTGCCTTGATAGCCTTCTTCATTTGGATCTTCTCCTTGTGTCGCTTCTGCTGGTGCAGCTTGGCCCGCAGGCCACGCAAATTCTGTGCATCCTGGGAAGCCTTGTGGCCCTCACGGGCGGCTCTCTTTCGTGTTCGTTCTTCGTGATCCAGGCGGCGGCCATGCAGCTTGCGCCACCTCTCCATATACTCGTTCTGAGGCTGCAAAGTCTGTTAGATGAAATCATATTCCCGTCTGAATGAGAAAAAAAAAACCATACCATATTTACTGTGTTGCCCGATTCTGGGACTTTTGGCCGTGGGTGGTTGATAGGAGTGTGGAGCCAAGTTGAAATTTCGCCCAGGGACAAAAAAAAAGAGAGAGGCGGTCGGCGGAGCCCGGCACAACACTTCTCCGACCAAAGCTCACCTAAACTTTTTGGGCCATACTACCAACGCCCATTTGCTGCCATCATCTGATCTGCAGCGTAGGACAAACCTACAGCTCAAGGCTCTCTTCACCAACAGAGAGACGCCAATTGCAGCATCGCCATGAGCAGAGCGCTCTTACGCTCCGTCCTGGAGCTTCGGGCGGCAAAATCAGCCCCCCGGTTCCCGCCGACGTTGGCCCTGCCCGTCCGCAGCCGGGCATTCAACACCACAGCACCCATCATCGAGCCGACAAACCAACCGCACGTCAACAACGCCCCGAACCCGACAGATGCCCAAGTCCGCCCCCTAGCCTTCAAAAAGAGTCACCCCACAGCGCCGCCGACCCCTATCCAAGACTCGGTCAAGAACCTACTCCCCTTCCTCGTCGCCCAGCCGGGCCACTACATCACCGTCCACATCCACGGCTTCCCCTACCTCGTCCAGGAAGGCGACCAGATCCGCCTTCCGTTCCGCATGCCCGGCGTGCTTCCCGGCGATGTACTACGCTTGAATAGAGCCAGTGTAATCGGCAGCCGCGACTACACCATGAAGGGGGCCCCCCACATCGACGAGCGCGTCTTTGAATGCCGAGCGACAGTGCTAGGCGTGGAGTCGGAGCCGATGCGCATCAAAATCAAGAAGAAGCGGAGGCAGCGGAGAAAGAGACAGGCCAAGAGCAAGCACCGGTACACCATCTTGCGCATTTCAGAGCTGAACATTAAGAATTTGGAAGACGTCGAGTAGCCGCCCACGGTCAGGAGACGGGAAAAAGCAAAGGGTCAAAAGCAAGGGGTCGCGTGAGAAGATTCTGTATACTGGCATGCATCATGTATCAATACCAGCGAGGCCGCTGGCTGTATAATAATACACTCGTCAAACGTAGTCAGTCGCCAACCGTCACCTGTGATGCAAATCTCGACACTCAACAAGAAACCACACAGATTGGATATCTGGAAAGCTAAAAAATAACAAGTCTCACAAGAGGAGATGCTGAATGCTACTCTATACCACACAACATCCCCCCCTCCTTCAAAAATAAATATAAAGCCCACGGCTAAACGAAAGACTTGGACAAAGACTCCCAAACACCAAGCTATGCCCGCCTGATTTTCCAATTCTGGTTTTTCAAAAGTAAAACAAGAAGCACAGAAAAAGGTGTACACAGGTCCCCTTTTTCGACATTAAATAAAGAGAATCATGATGAATACCACGACTACATCCGCCCTGCCATTGCCTTTCTGATACTTGTCCAATACGCTTGTGGCCAGACACTAGCGCCCTCAGACTCGGTGGGCATCCGTTCGCGACATCGGGTGACGACGCTCTGGATGATTCTGCCAAGCAGCTCCTCGTCAATGGGAAGAGCCTTTTCATTAAACTCGGCGGGGTAGAGGAAGGGGTCGGAGGCATGAAGGAGTTCTTCACATGTAGGGCGCATGTGGAGATCTCGGTTGAGGCAGCGCTTCATGGTGCGCAGCAGCGACGGCGGCACGGGGACGCCTCCGACTGCTCGCGAGGGAAACTCGATGATGTGGTCCCAGTTGATGATGGCCTGACACCGGGCCATTTGGTTGGCAATGTGGCCAAACGGCGGGACGCCATAGACCATTTGGTACAGGATGCAGCCCAGGGACCAAATGTCACTTGGTTTGCCGAGTTTCACGAGCTTGGGACGGCCCGGGAGGCGGCCTCCGCGAGGGTTGTTGGCGTCCATCAGTGACTCGGGGGACATGTAGCTGGGTGTTCCGACTTGAGTCTCGCGATGGACGTTGACCGTCTCCTCGGTCTGAATGGCGTTGGCAATGCCAAAGTCAATGAGTTTTAAGCGGCCCTGGACAAGGACAAAGTTGGCCGGTTTCAGGTCGGAGTGGACAATTTCGTACTGGTGCACTGATTGCAGACACTCGAGCATCTCTTTCCAGTAGAACCGCACAAAGACAGGATCGAACTTGGCCGTCTCAGAACTTTGTCGAGACGTGAGGAGTTTATTCAAGTCCAGCTCACCCATCTCCATAAGCTATCAAACTGTTAGCGGGTCGAACGTCACCGGGAGCTTTCCAGGTCAGGGACACCTACCAAAGTAAGAACTTGTTTCTCCGAGTTCAATTCATGATCGTACAAATCAATGACGCGATCAACACCCTTCAGCTTGCCCAAAAGATCAATCTCGCCTCTGTATCCCTTGATGATGCTCTCGTCGGCATTCTCCAAGGACACGCGCTTGAGAGCAAACATTTTGCCATTTTCGGCCGTCACCCGATACACCTTGGCACTGCCGCCTCGGCCGAGACACTCCAGTCTGGTGTAGCACTTTCCATTGACCCGCAGCACGTTTCGACGTTGCCTGGCCTGTGTGGTTGTGGCCGCGCCAGCCGTCGACGTAGCCGCCTCCAAGACGGACATCTTGGGCGGCGGCGGCGGCGCAGACCGGTGTGGTGTATTGTTTGCAATGGAGGCTAGAGGTTTCCGCTCGGGAGATGCTGCTTTGGCGCTGCCGAGGTCAACATGCAGCGGCCGGATACTGGGCTTTTCTACGCCTAGGTCGGCGGCCACCTTGACCGGCCGCTTGAAGGTAATGGGATACTCATTCTCCTGGTCGTTTATGGACGGAATCTCGATGCGTTTGGGGAGCATCGCTTCCGGCACCGTAATGTGGTCGTCCCGTCGAGCCTCAAATTGAACCCCACGAGATGAGCGCCTTGACGAACCCAGGTCGGGCAACTCGATACCAGAAGCCTGTCTCCTATTACTGGCTCGGGCAGCAGCACTGCCGCTGACAGGGCTCCCCGAGTTGAAGTCCCGGTTCGCCTCATGGTAGACAGACGGTTCGGGCGGCTCGTCTGCCGGTTGGAGGCCATGCTCAGCTTCGTGGCTGGGGACGGCGTGGTCTCCGTCTACATGGCCTTCGCCCTCCTCATCGCTTTGACGTCGTCTGCCTCTCCTGGCTGGTCCGCTCAAAAAACTTCCCGAAAGCTTGCCAACTCGCTTGACCCGCATGGAGCTCTGCGGGTTGACATCGTCGGGGCGGCTACGCGTCGACGGGTATCGTGATGCGCTGCCGTGGCTTCCAGAATTCCGCACCGCGCTCTCAGGTGCTTCTGGCTGATCATACTCGGCTTCCAGGTGCGATCTGTCGGCAACGGAACGGTCAAATTTGGACCGCCCAGACGAAGGTCCGGAGGAGCTAACCCGACTCCTGTTAGCCGATGAGCCGGCGGCAATTCGCACAACCCGGTCAGGATGAGGCGGGGTGTTGACCTCTGGTTGCGGCTCTGGCTGTGGTTCTTGCTCCTCTTCTGCGGGCTTTTCATGATTGTTGCTTGTCCGGCTAGGTAGTGATACAGCCGCCTTTGGTCCCGTAGAGCGAGACATGGAGGTAGATCGTCTCTTGCCCGGACCCATCTGGTTCAAGCTGTGCGGGTTACTGCCCAGACGTACAACCCTCTTCCTAACGGGGCTAGCCTCTTGATTTTGGCTTGTATCGGCGGCCTTTGCGGGCTTTTCATCCGCAGGCTGCACACTTCCAGATCGTAGATGTCGCCTGTCCTGGGGTCCGGCTCCAACAACGCCGGCTGAAGACGAATTGTTGTTCAACGCACTAGTTCGTCGTCTCGTGCGTGGCGGTGAGGCTTCCTTATTAGCAGGTTCCGGGGCGTCATCGTTGAGGAGAGCTTTGGTGAGAGCACTGAGCTTCATAGGCACAGGGATTTCATCCTCTGAGCTGTCGTCGTGGTATTGCTGCTGATGTGGTGATTGACTCGCAGGGGCCACGGCGGCGGCAGTGGCGGCAGCAGCGGCGGCGGCTTGACTCTCGCTTCTGCTAACCATCTGTCGCGAGGCAGGACGTCTCAAGGCCTGGCGTTGTGAAGTTCTCCGGACAGCACCGGCAGTGGCCATTGGTGTCGGCGATGCGGTCGCCATTGCAGGACGCGTGGGTTGGCAGTTGGTAGTTTGTATACTGTGAGAATGCACTGGTGATTTCGAAGGTCGAATTGCGGTAATGGTAAAGGATTCGGACTTCTTTACGTGTCGGGAGTTCCCATGACCCTGATTCGCACACGTATCACGACAATGTCGAAAATATTTTAGTTGATGTTATCGCGTCGGTTGGATCGATATCGACAACAGGGAGAGCGGATGGGAACCTTTAGTGGGATATTTTGGAGGATATGGAAGGTGGCCAATCACAGAGCCGCGGGTTGCTGTGGGCAACCGGTGTCGAGGTGGGGACCGTCTGAACAGGCCCCCCCCAGGCCCCAGGCGGTCTGGTCTAAACAAAAGGCGAGCAATGGAGAAGATTTGCATTGACGTTTATGCAAGTTTGATGGGATGGGGTGCTTGCAATGACTTGTGTACAGTATGTACTAGTCAGTGCCGAAGCGTCCATCGCGACTGTTCTTCGATGGAAAACAAAAGGAGCGCTTAGCTCGGCACATGTCATGGCGTGTAGAGAATGTATCCTATACTCGGTACACCGTCTCGCAATTGCCGTCAGAGCACCAAGTCAATGTCGTGTCATTGACTACCAGGCAGATGAGCCATCCAGCTATCCAAATACTTCACATTAGACGTGGCCTTCTCCCGTGTTGTCCGGAATTGAAGCACAACGTCATTTTACAGCACCGAGGACGACCAGTGATGTGGCTATAATGACAACGTTTCTTTCTCCTGGCCCATCTGCCCCTGCCAAGTGCTACATCGGGGGCCCCTCCAGGGTCAGCGTCACTTCGCACCATCTCCGGCGGTCCGTGGCGCATTTTCTTTTTTCGATTCCCAACTCCTCCTTCCCTGGGTGTTGGATTCTTGTCTTCTTGCTTGTTCCCCTACCATCGATGCTTTTGTGATGGCACCCGATAGGAGGCGGCCATGGGGAACCGCCCTATCCCTGTGTTCCCTGAGCCTCCTCTTGCTCGTCTTCTGTGGCGTGTCGCACGCTTCCATTGGAGACCGTTCACCGGCATTCAGGGAGTGTCTTGAGGCATGTCGCCCGTCAATGTCCTCCCCCATACATAGCTAACCGACGGTAGGTCTGCAAAGCCGAAAACTGCGGTCCCGGCAAAGACCATACTCCCATTCGTACGTCCTGAAGCCTTGCTCGGATCACGAAAATCCAAGACTTGCGCCTGCTAACATGGAAAGGAAAGCCGCCCACCGTCGCCTCCTCCTCTGGGACTGCGCCTCCGAATGTGACTACACATGCCAGCACATTGTCACCGCCCAACGAGTCGCCGCTCGCGAGCCCATTGTCCAATTCCACGGCAAATGGCCCTTCTACCGGTTTCTCGGGATGCAGGAGCCCTTCTCCGTGCTCTTCTCCCTGGGAAACCTCTATGCGCACTGGCATGGCCTTGTCAAAGTCCGCGCTCATATCCCAGCGACGTACAGTCTGCGTCCGTTTTACGTGATGCTCGCCCACGTTGGAATCGCCAGCTGGGTCTTCAGTGCCATTTTCCACACACGCGATTTTCAATTCACGGAAGAATTGGACTACTTTGCCGCTGGTGCAAACGTCCTCTACGGATTGTACTACACGCCCATTCGCATCTTCCGAATCGACCGACCCTCGCCTCGACGGCGATCCGTCCTTCGCGCATGGACGCTGCTGTGCATAATGTTGTATGTATTCCACGTGGCGTACTTGAAAGGTGTGCGGTGGGACTACACGTATAACATGGCGGCCAATGTCGCTGCTGGTATCGTGCAGAATATTCTGTGGAGTTGGTTCAGCGTTACGAGCTTCAAAAAATCAGGGAGCCTCTGGTCGATTGTGCCCGGTGTAGTTGTCGCGTGGGTCATGTTCGCCATGAGTATGGAGCTGTTTGACTTCCCACCCTGGCTGGGGTGTATTGATGCCCATAGTCTGTGGCATTTGCTAACGGTTGGACCTACGATCTTGTGGTACAAGTAAGTTGCGCCCGTCTCAGTGTTTCAGGGGCTTGAATTATAGGCTAATATCAGCAAATAGTTTCTTGTTGAAAGATGCTCAAAAAGATATTGCCGGCACGGAGCGGTACAAGGCTTGAGAGCATGATGATGAGCATTGCAGACGCCGCCTTGTGTGATTTCAGTCATCAAGAATACAGAGAAAGACTGAAAAGGGGTGTCTTCTCTAGATGACGGAGCTGGAAGGCGGTAGTTGCGTTTAGTTGCATTTCTAATCGGTAACTGGATACTCAAGCATCGTTGATTTCAAGCTCGCAATGATGCTATGTCGAATCGTGTCAAAGTAGCTCAAACAGTATCATTCATTACGACTAATAGCACACGTCGCTTTGGTCCGGTTCCGTTTTTCCGCCGTGCAGGCGGTGTAATATCAGCACAGAAACTGTCCAGAAATCAAGAGGAAGGAAAGAAAAGCTTCTCAACGCGATATCAACTCAAAACAGGCGAGAGCAAACCAATGCATATACAAAAGCAAGTGACGGCCAAAGTCAAGTCTAAACCCCGTCGCCTCCCCGCTGTCGTAGACTCTATAGAATATAGAAAAAGGGGTATCATGTACGCCGACGCCAACAGTATCAACCTTGGTTTCGATTCATCCGCGTGTAAGAATAATAGGGGATGGGGCATCATTAGTCTATTCGATCATTATTTTTCCATGCATGCCCGACTCAGGAAAAAGATAAAACGATTGGAACGATTTTTCTTCTCTAAGTGCTGAGCAGGTCTCGGACCGACAAGCCCCGGGCGTTGAGGGCGGGATTGGTGCCACGTCTGTCGTTATTCAACATTAACAACGCGGCAGAGGCTTCCTGGTCAAGATCGGACTGCGGGTTCAGGGCCGGGCTTGTGAGCGTCGACCCAGATGCGCTGCTTTGTGAGTAGACGGCGTGCGGCTGGGGCCCAAATGCAGGAGAGGCTCCGGCTGATGTGCTGAAGCTATAGTGTCGCTGGTCAGTAGACACGGATGAATATGACTGCTTTCGGTGCTGAGCATCATCTGGTTGCAGACCGGGTGAGATTGGCGGGTGTGCGTGGTCGGGCTGGGCTGTGAAGAGAGGCGACGCTGTGTCCGAGTCGGACATGTCTACGTCGCCGGAGGGGTCTGCGTGAAACGTTGGATGAAAGTCACGGATCGAAGGCAGTGGGTTGTGTGCGGCCTGTTCCCTGCCCTTGTCCCCATGTTGAGCCTTGAGCTTAGCAACGCAATCTTCAAGGTATCTAACATAATCAATTGAAGCCTGTAAACGATGTGTTAGTGGGTTGGCATTGCGACCGTGGCGGCGCCGGCGTTCCCAGTTGGCCGAACTGACCTGGAGAATGGCGAGCTTGTGCATTTCGCCCGTACAGGCAGGAATCATGCTTTTGAGGACGGCAAACTCTTCATTCATCTTACTGCGACGTCGTCTTTCAATCAGACTGTGGGCAGTTTTCCTGGCAATCTTGCGTCCAGCAGCACTCGTGGCGCTAGGTTGCTTCTTCTTTCCCTGAGCCCCACCAGCATCGGCGGTCGCATTGTTCTTGTTAGCTGCCGTCTTTGCCGCTCCAATGGCTCCCTTGCCTCCGACCTTGCCAGAGCCTTTCGTCGATGAGACCTCGGTCGCTGCTTCCTCCTGTGCTCGGGGCTTCATTTGGATAATCTTTCGTGATCGAGTGGGTGGAGGAGGGAGAGTAAAGGAGGATTCGTCCTTGGTGTCCTTGGCGGCAGACGATCGACGGCGTGATTTGACCGTCTCGGCAGCCTGTAACGGATATATGGTCCGCGGGGAAGACGAGGTTAGCGTGGCTGGATAAGACGCTGTCCGAGCAGGTGAGGTGTGCTTGGGTTTGGTGGGTGAAATGCGTGAAGCATCATGAATTGCAGGTGGAGGTAATTCAAAAGAAAGATGTATCGATGAGAGCTGCTGGGCGCCATCCTGTCCCTTGATATCTGTGGAAGAGCCAGGGGTTGGCGGAAGGGCCGGTCGAGGCATTGGCGCAGTCGCGTGAGGTCTTTTACACGAGCAGTAGCAATTGACTATTGTTGATGCGGCCAGGCCAACGTTTGCTCTTCTGGGACTGGTAAGCTAGATCACGGACCCAGGTCGGCCAAGTACCGAGCAAGCAGCGTTCAAATGATTTGCGTGTACTCCGTACACCTCTCTGAGCCGCTAATGGAAGAAAGGGGCCAGGTCAAGCCACCCGGCTATCTGTCCCTCCGTCTAGGGTGTCGGGGACGCTCAGTCTGTCGTGGCTCGGCACACGAGTTCCGCTATGCAATGCCCTCTCGCTGGAGGAGTCGGATTCAGAAAGTGTGTGTCAAGGACTCGAGGTGCTCCGTAAATGCAGGTCCTGCGTGAAGAGACTATGCCCCAATACACTATTTGCCGAATAGAGTGGATGATATCTGTTTGGATGTCGTGCTTTCGGCTGTATTTCTTTACCACCACTGCCGCAGGAGGGAGGAGAATATACCCTTGAGTCTTCTTTTTTGTATCCAAATTTCGTCCTCTATAAATGTCTGCTGTCTTTTATTTTCGTTTTCGTGTCTATTTGGTTCCTCAGCGACGAGACAAAGCATTGGCCGGAAGTTGAGTGTCCGGTAGCCAAGGTGCTACACGGTCACGCTCGTGTAAGTGATGGGAATTGACCAGACAGGAGACCGTGTCTCAAGCCGACCAAAGACGGAGGCAACTGAACGATTGAATAGAACACAAGAAAATGTGCCACTGCCCGGGGCCCGGGATTCCTGATAAATAATCTCGAGACTGGAATTTGAGGGGGGTTAGGGGAGAGAGAAAGAAGATGGACGGTCTTAAGAATGAGAGAGTGGTTTTCCAAGCAAGACGAGGAAACTGGGCACGGGACAAACCAAAAGATGAAGGCAGGCCACTTGAATATACATACTAAAACCAAAAGGCGCATGCACGCATGCACACATGTACTCATCGAATGTACGATGTACATACGTCCCTTCGGCTTCTCCAAGAAACTCACTTGCGTCTAGCGACTGGGCGCGAGGCTCATGGCCCATATGTTCCCCCATTCTTCCCTGACACCCGGGATGGATCATATCCGCCCACCCCGTGGGCAGGACCCAGAAAGCCAGCTGGCCAGCCGGGAAACACACAAATTGCCTACGATTACGGAGTAGACCACTCGTCCACGGTGAGAACCACCTCAGCATGTTCGTACTTCTCCCACGGGGTCAGGAAATGGCCGGCCACGGGGGACCATCCAAGACGGCCATTGACCAAGCATCATCGAGAAATTGGTCGCGTGCTCTTTGAGCTTGTATATGAAGGCTGACGAATCAGAGCGGCGCATAGGCCCATGTGTCTTCCACATGCACCCGGGATGGGCGAGCCTCCAAGCGCCTTGGCTGCTCGGAACAGGGTCCAGGCACCGGTGCAGATTGTCACACAAGCGGCGTACGGAGTACCGCCAACTTCTTTCCAAGTTGGGTCGGCATGTTGTAAACTCCACGCAGCCGGCAAACGTCCATTGGCCCATGGATCCAGCTCAAATCCACGATAGCGGTCCAAAAGAGAGCTCCGGGGTCTCTGAGTGGCGTTGGCTTCAGGCATGTCGTGTGAGGTCCTGTTCAGCGAGCACGTGCTCATCTGAAGAAGCTGCAAAGGTTCTGGGTTTCTTGCCGTTCCTGACCTGATGAAAACGACCACTGACGGAGAGGCTCAACTTGTTGTGGTTGGATTTCAGAACAGCGATCAGAAGAGAATCCGGGCTCAACTGCTGCCGTCCTGTTGCCATGTCGTCGTAGCATGTGTGAATTCTGTTGCATTGGGTAGTTGGTGGCTTGTGACAGAACACTCTGTGACCCAAGCGCCGCACCATTCAATTGCCAAGATTTGTCCGAGAAGTTTTGCGTGCGCCACCTCCAAGTGGTGGTGCATCTTTTGCTCCCTGCGTCTTCGCAATGACGAGTTTTCCTTTGCCATTGAAGTTCTCCAGCAGAGGCACCCTACCCTAAATCACGCTGGGTCAACTTTGTCTTTGCCCCATATTGATCTCATTAACCACAGCACCCAGCTTATGACTTTCGGCCGGACCTGGATGCGTAGATGAGTTCTGTACTGCACTGTATGCCAAACGCACTATTGGTATTTTGTCTGCGCTCCGCATGAGGTCTAGAATGACAGTTGGCCTGTCTTTGAATGGATCCAGCTGCAAGCCTGCTGGGTTGCCGTATGGTTTGTTGGACGGGATGAATCGGTTTGTCATGCGCTCGCCCCGCACTGTCTTAAGAGCCATCACTGCATTGGACATTTGACGACACCGGCACATTGATAAAGCGTATGCTTCGTGCAGCTGGATCAAGGGGAAGAATCTCTCCACTGATCTTGTAGATTCCCCCGGTGCATGACACGGGAAGGGGCTTGAGGGCTGAAGTTGAGTAGACCCATGGATTCTTGTACCATTTGGATGGGTTCAGGGTAGTCTTTGAATCGCAACTTCCGCACACAAGGAACGTGCATTGGTAAGAGGAAGGAGTCATGTGCGTCGGCAGAGCCATGCCGGCGTGAATTGCTCGGCGGGCTCACTCTTTTTGCTAGGTGCGCTCACCCCCCCTTAGTAGGTAAGTGTTTATTATATCTAAACTCTCCTTATATATTCTTAAGAGATAATTTATAATAAAATATATTTACTTATAATAAAATATATAGTAATATATTATAATATAGCCTGATATCCAGGTACCTAGAGGTGCGTGAGTGCACCTAGCAAAAAGAGTGAGCCCGCCGAGCAATTCATATGCCGGCTACCTACCTACCTAGGTAGGTAGGTATCCATAACATGCTTGCCAATTGTACACACTCCCCCAGCAGGTCCTTTTGGCTGCAATGGCATGCTACGGAAAAAAATATTGTATAACCAGACTTCTTGAAGACGATTCTCACGGCCAACCTTAACGCAAGGCTGTCAGACAGGACGAGACAAGATGGAAATAGGAGGTAACGTGTAGCAGAGAAGAAACTTACGACAGAAGTGCTAGATATGAGTGCCAAGGGTCTAAGCGTGCATATATTGGAGTAATAAAGGACAGCTGCGTCAACCTCTACTCCGCCATCGTTTACAGCCCACAGCCTCGTTATCAAGCAACCCTTGACATCTAGGTTGACTGTATTGTGTGTAGCTACAAGAGAAGGCATGCTGATCTCTGAATTTCCACTGACATCTGCCACACCATAACCTCTTTGTCATGTCAAAACGGCCCCCCCAAAAAAAAGAAGTAAATTGCTACCTCATTAACCCATCATAGCGCCTACATACATCCTGGTTCGGTGCCTGGGGAATCCAATGTATATAAATCGTACATTTCTCTTTTGGCCAGCGGCAGTTCCCTACCAAGGCCAACTTCCATTTTTCCACGTCGTGACTCGTCCATCAGGACCTGTATTAGCTCTGCCCCCACCACTAGCATTGGCTTTGGACATCAAACGGCAACGGAAATTCCCCCAGTTGGAGTTAAACCTCGTTGCTGGGATAGGGGACCTGGGTGGTGGCATTGAACTCTTCCTTGAGAGCACGAATGTTGACGAATCGTGTGAGCAGGTTGGAGCTGCCGGCTTTGTCGTCGGTACCAGAGGCACGGGCACCACCAAAGGCCTGCTGGCCGACGACAGCGCCGGTGCTCTTACAGTTGATGTAAAAGTTGCCGGCAGCATTGCGCAGCTTATCCTCGGCGAAGCGGATGGCCTCACGATCGGTGGCAAAGACGGCGCCCGTGAGACCGTACTCGGAGGTGGAGTCGACGAGCTCGCATGCCTTGCCAAAGGCGTCGGGGGAGGCATCATCGTAGACGTAGGCCGTCAGGATGGGACCGAAGAATTCGGTAGACAAGAACTTGTGGGCGGGGTTGGTGGTCTCGAAGATGGTTGGGTGGACGTAGTACCCCTTGGAGGAATCGTACTTGCCACCAGCGACGAGCTGGAGTTCCTTATCGGCCTTGGCCTCGTCGATGGCGCCGGACAGCTTCTTGAAGGAGGCGGCGTGGATGACGGGACCGCAAAAGTTGGCATGGTTCCAGGGTTCGCCGACGCTGATCTTGCCAACCTCTGCGGCGAGCTTCTGCTTGAATTCGGGCCAGAGGGACTTGGGGACGTAGAGACGAGACGTGGCACTGCACTTTTGGCCCTGGAACTCAAAAGCACCCCGAATGGTGTGCTTGACGGCATTGTCGATTTCAGCAGACGGGTGAATCAAATGGAAGTTCTTGCCACCAGTCTCGCCGACGATTCGAGGGTACGATCGGTAACGGCCCTCAGCAACACCCTGACCAATGGCACCGTACAGCTTGCGAAATACGGCAGTGCTGCCAGTGTAGTGCAGAGCAGTGAACTCCTTGTGGGCGAGGACGGTCTTGGTGATTTCCTCCGGGTTACCGGGGACGAACTGGATGACGTCCTTGGGCAAGCCAGCCTCGAGGAGGATCTGGTAGACGAGCCAGTTGGACGCAATGGCAAAGTCGCTGGGCTTCCACACAACGACGTTGCCCATCAGGGCCGGGGCGCCAGGCAAGTTACCGGCAATGGCAGTGAAATTGAAGGGGCTCACGGCGTAAACGAAGCCCTCCAGAGGGCGATACTCGAGACGGTTCCACAAACCAGGCGAGTTGTGCTCGGGCTGCTGGGTGAGAAGCTCCTGCGCGTAGTGAACGTTGAAGCGGAAGAAGTCTGCCAGCTCGGCGGCGGCGTCAATCTCGGCCTGCCATGCGTTTTTGCCCTGGCCGAGAACGGTAGAGGCCATGATCTCATAACGGTACTTGTTGGCGATGAGGTCGGCAGCCTTGAGGAAGACGGCCGCACGGTCGGAGAAGGGCAGAGCCTCCCAGGCAGGCTTGGCGGCCAGAGCGGCCTCGATGGCCCTGTTGACATCGGCGGGAGTGGCAGTGTGATAGTTGGCCACCTTGCTGGCGTGATCGGAGGGGTTTAGTTGATGAGAAACGGCAGATGTTTTGACCTAGGGGTTTGGA